TGGAAGTGAAAAGACATAGTATGTACAATCATTACGTCAAAACAAACAAGTAGATTGGAAGATTAATAATGACTTCAGCTCAGCAAGTGAAAATCAATAGCAATGTAAAGACTTTGAATAGAAACAATTTCTAAACTACGCTACACATTTACATTTATAGTAACTTATTTCATTTTTAGACTGTTAGCGTCTGCATAAAGACTATGAAATTAGAAATGAGCTCTTTTAATTCTGCAAATTCGATTCTCTCGCATTTTGTTCAAACTTGTCAAGGTATGCCGCTGAACTATTTCTTTAATATCCTAGACTAGTAAGTTCCGAGCCAAAAGCGGATACTCCTAATAATTTAATAGTGAGTCCAACGTCAACAACTACGTGGGAATATTCGAAATGATAAAGTTATGCAGACTGTTTAATTCTAAATTATGTTTTGTCAAAACCTGAGAGTCACGTGAACTATTCTTTTTCTACAGTTGTGTGATTACAATACGTCTGGTGACCACTTATCTGAAATATTAGTGCGTCTACAGCACCAAAAGTAAGCGAAAAGAAACGAAATACGTTATTATAAGTCCATTCGGCTCCTCTTTTAATGGATTATTAGTTCACTGGTAGAACACTCACCAACCAGGGTTCGATTCCCGACCAGCGCACGCCTGAACCTCACTTAGCCGACAGTAAGACCAGTTAATATGGGAGGTTGAGCGTTAGACTAGTAATTCCACCCTGTAACAGTGGGGTTAGACAGGGTTGCCCAATCTCTCCATTTCTCTTTAACTTTGCCATCGATGACATTCTGGAGTCATCTCTGAAGGATGTGCGTGAAGGTGGTGTAGATCTGCTACCTGGAAATAGACTTTTCGACCTCGAGTATGCAGACGATATCGTCTTACTGTGCGATAGCATGCAGGCTGCCCAAATCGCACTTAATCAGTTGGCGATCAGTGTCTGTAAGTATGGTATGTGCTTTGCACCGTCTAAGTGCAAAGTACTGTTACAAGGTTGGCAGGAGCCTGTACCTGCACTCACTCTTGCGGGTGAACTGCTTGAAGTTGTTGATAAGTTTGTGTACCTGGGTAGTTGTGTGAGTGCTGGCGGAGGGGTGACGGATGAGATTTCCAACCGTATAATGAAGGCTAGGGTGGCATACATCAACTTGTGCCACCTCTGGCGCTGTCGCGACGTTAGCCTGGCTGTCAAAGGTCGGGTATACAATGCTTCGGTGCGGGCTGTCTCGCTCTACGCCTGTGAAACCTGGCCTCTCCGAGCTGAGGATGTGCGGCGACTCTGCGTGTTCGATCATCGCTGTCTCCGCAGGATTGCTTGCGTTCGATGGCATCATCGCGTGAGTAATTCTGAGGTTCGGCGGCGTGTGTTTGAACACAGTGGAGATCACCATTCATTGAGTGTCGTCATCTGGAAACACCAGCTCCGGTGGCTTGGACATGTGCTGCGAATGTCATCCCAGAGGCTTCCGTACAGGTCTCTGTTCGCTAGCCCTGGGACGGGATGGAAAAGGCGGAGGGGTGGTCAGTCCATGACGTGGCGTCGTGGGATGAAGGATATTTGTGCTAGATTAGCATCGGTTGGTGTGTCACGACTTCCTGGTTGGGGTCCGTGAGATAGCTCGAATCGATGGCTCGAAAAGTTATCGGATATAGCCAAGAATCGTAATCAATGGCGAACGTGTTGCAATTTCCTTCTTTCTTCCCTTCCTGATGATAGTTAACGAATACTGTTTGAACTTGTTAAACATGACTGTTTTCCTTCCAGATGAAGTTCTTTATCCGTTTTCTACTTATATTTTTACTTTTAATCTATGTTGTTTTATTATTATTGTGTGGCGCATCTTTCTTGATGCCATATTGTACCAAGTTTTTCTGCATTTAAATAAATAAAATAAATTCCACCCTGTAGAAAAGAATAACACCAGTGTTTCTGGGACTTCAAAGCTCCACTCGGAACGCAAAGGAATAAAATGATACAAAAATCACTTAGAATATTATTGCAGATTGCAAAGTAGTGGGATGGCAAGATATTTGTGTGGTAAACTGAATGCAATAGTGTAAAACAGATGATGATTAGCCATAATGAATCCGTACTATTTGTAAAAGGAAAATTAATAATCTAGTTACTCCTTGAAGCAAAATTAGTGTGTACAGTAAACCTGAAGTGAATAGTTTATCAGTGTGTGAAAGGGGAAAAATGAAATTTAAAAAAAAAACGAGCAATAGTAACACTAGTAGTCGATTATAATACTCTGCTAAGGTCAATTTGTATGTAGAAAGTCTAACAAAATGCTAGGAAAACACATATTGGGAGATGAAATATATTCTTCTTCTATCAGTTCTCCATCATTGGCTCTAACTAGCTTCTTTGCACAGATGTACAGCAGTTCAACTTGCTATACTCAATGTAGCACACAAAAGAGAGAAAATAAGGTTCTCAAAAGAACAGAAATATGGTGGTAGAGAAAGAATAATAACGTGGAAGAATAGTAGGGTTTAATGGATATGGGAGATCATAGAGTGAATGCATGTGCGCCAGCCATTGAGAACTATTTTGAGCCATATCACCAATTGTCTCCAGCCTCCAATGGTTCCTAGCATCCAGAGGACCCCAACCAGTTTGGAAGTCTACACCTCCCTACGTGACTGACTGGCTCAAACTAACTGTTGTGGATTTCATTGACTGATGAAGCCATGTTTTGGTCTGGCCACCACTAGCTAACTCTTTCCCAACCTGATCGATCCTATGTCAGCTAACATCGTCCATCGGTGGAGGAAGGCGATGGCTAGACATGTGTGTGTAACACATGTCCTAACCATCTCAATGGGTGTAACTGTACAACCTCATCGATTGATTTCCGTCCTTCCTTAACTAACACTCGACTGTAGCCTAACCTCAATATTGCACACCTTATTATACTATTTCACACGGGAGATGGAACGCAGACTTATCGGCCCTACACAAATAAATAGTTTTTGACATCAAAATTATGCCAGCTATTTGGTTATTTTAGTCAATAAGAATGACCACTTTTGAGAAGGATGAAAATAAGAAATTGAAAATCATCAAAACAGTTGAATAGTATATGTTAGCAACAAGATATCTAAGTTTTGAAGGTGGGATTGGCGAAAATAATTACGGAACATAAGATCAGTTAGTTCGTAGGAGTTAGAAACTAAAATGATTTAAAATGTAAGAGAAGAGGAACGCATGAATAAGAAAACAGTAGTTGGTTCAAGGACAACCAAGGAAGGCATAAGGCCTGGACAATGATCTAGCTACTGTCCGAACCAGGATGTTACATGCCCTTCACTCCTGAGACGAACCTACTTCAATAGTAAGCCCAATAAGAACAGTTAAATCAGCATGTACGCGGCGTTTGTGCTAAGATAAATTATTTTAGAGGCACTGGACGACAAGTGAGAGATAAGCACAAATGTTATTTTTATCTTTCCACTCAGACGTGAGAATCTTCACACCCAAAAGTGAGTGCACCATACACTTAGCCCATATTGTAACAACATCAGAAATATTTCATACCTATATAAACAGACCAAAACAGGCGTTCTTTTCTCTCAAAAATTAGAACCACCATGCAATTTTGGAATTAACCGACACATACTAGTGACACTGAATACCATCTACCTCTGCAGTGTTTACATCCTTACTAAACGAATTTCAAGAGACGTGAATAGTGCAAACGAATGGACATTCCTGTCACCATTTAAGAGAAAACTTTTTTTGACTTAACCCAAAAAAAACCTCTTGGTCACCATGTCACATACAACAGAGTCCTCAAAGTCATAACTTCACTTCGTATACACAGGCTTGTGGAAATACTCCTTGCTGAACAAGAGAATCAAATATTACTAACGACATGACAGTAAGGATCTTGGCATTATGCAGCTCCAGATACCAATCCACTGATTCACATCTTCAAGAAAAAAACATCCACCATGTAGCACGTTCAACAACATATGAGCATCTCTCATATACCAAATACACATACAAAGCACTAGTAAAACTGCTATAGTTACTAACTTTCAGCCTTGTTTTTGACTAACAATGGTGCGTCACAACTATATTGTTCTTCGATATTATTCTCTTTGCCTCATGTCTCTCATTGCTGTCTCTATTTTGCGTTTCTTTTTACTTTCTTCTCTGGCTTTGTCGACTGAGTGATGTGGCTACTCAAACTGCTGCACATCAGTGCAAAGTTCTATGTTGAAACCAGGCAGTCAGCACCACAACCTCTGAAAAGAAATTCTTACTTCGCTTCAAACGAAATGCTGTCTACACTCGAATGTTTAAATGACACACTTAATCATTATACTATTATCCACTCCCACAGCCATCAGGAGGACTATAGTTCATGAATAAACATGCACGGGACTAGAAGACGCAGACTCGTGACAACTGTCTCAGCAATCCGGACGACAGTGAAATAGACAGTAGTATTTAGAAAGCAAACGAGTGTTATGAGTCTCCCCATTAAAGGACATATAGGAAGTATTTGACGATAGGATGAAGACTGCAATACGATAGAACACCTACTTATTCTACGAACGACCAAGTATTTACAAACGCATGTCCTAACTGTACAAATTAACTCCTACTTATCTCAGAAGAGGGAGAATTTCAGCTCACTAACCTCACAAAGTGCTTGTTCAGTAATACAACCTGATTGTCCCTAGTTGTACATTGGTTATTCTTTTTCTCAGGAAAAAGCCACGTCCCACAATGGAATTAAGACCTTCGCCTTGTTTGGACTATGGTGATTACCTCAGCTGCTTTAAGGACAAAGACCACACAAAAATATATGTATACTGCACTCCATGAAATGGTTTTTATAGAGACTAGTCATAACGAAGTCGAGAAATATTGTAAGGGCTAAGAGTTGCTTAAGGTATATTGCAAATAGCAAACAGTTCACGATTAGGAACGTCTTTTCTACAATCAGGAAACTGATCTCTTTGAGAACTCAGAAGCCATTTTATTTACAAGTATATATTTATTAAATAAGAAGCTTTTCGATGCTCTGCTGAATAGAAACAACGAGAGGTTTGAGCTGCGAACCTTCACTATCTGTAACAGCAACAGCAGCCACAGACCTAGAAACTCCGCAAGCGCGACCCAGAGCCATTTGTGAGGGTATAAAGACGTATGGTACATTCTTATCTTCGCATAACAGTGGCAAATGTAATACAATTTCCAGAGGATCAATGTCAGCTGCCATCACAATAAATTCAGCTTTCCCTCTGTTGAGAGCCTTTGTGGCTTCATTTGCACCCTTCTTTAACTGTTTGTAAGAGCTGGCCTGCTTAACAAGCTCGATTATTTTATTCGTTAATTCTGGTCCTGCCAGTGGGTATGCCCGAGGATTAATACCTTGTGTCTAAGGAAATTTATAATTCACAAAACTAAACATACCATGATGCACGCTGAGATCCGTCCTGAAACGACCTTGAACCCGCCTCTCAATGTCCAACGTACCAGTCACTTTCAGATTTACTGACTGAGGATAAAAGGCTTAAAACCTATTTTAATACTTTCCTAGAACAGTTTTGTACTTGTTCTCTTTAACAGATCGACTGAGGGTAGTGACACCACCGCTTCTGGGAGTCGGTTCCAAGAGTTTGATTCAGTGTTAGAACTAGTACACCACTAAAATAGAGTTCTTCATTGGCTTTTTGGCTCTCCTGCTATTTCCTTTTAGGTGTCGTGAGTCGTGGGTAATCAAAAGAGAAAATAGATCAAGTCCGTAGTCATTATTTAAAATTGTAAACGTTGTAATGAGTTCGCTTCTCTGCCCACAAAATGACAAGGGGAAAAGATCTAAACTGCCTAGTCCTTCGTCTTACAATAAACTGGTCATGCCAAGAATCATACGTGTTATCCGCCCTTGAGTCTTTTCTTGAATGTGTAGTTCTCCTTTAAGACAAGAACTGGCTTCCTGGACGTAGTTTTCCAGTCTTGGCCTCAACAGTGATATGTATAAAGAAGTGTATATTTCTCTGATTGTTCTCGTAAACGCTCTGTGTATTGCCTACATAGATTTGAAACTGAGAGCTGCCACCATGCGACAGTGTGCTGTGGTTTGTAAGTCATGAACTGGTGGGAGTATAATTCCCTCTGATTCGTATGAGTTGACGCTTGCGTGTCCCATACGCTACGCTGATCGGGAATATCCATCATTTGGACCACTTTAACAAATTTTTGGAGAACCTTTGTAACACGAGCGTATCAGCATTGCACTTCAGCTCTCTTCGGTCTTTAGGTGATCTGTGTAGAGGACCTTATGAATTTCAATGAGCATGGGTAACTACTCACTGATATAAGAGATGTAAAGAAGGTCTCGCTTACGGTGCCGTGTGGCACTGCACCACGTGCTATTGTCTCCGGAGGGGAGTTTTGAGTCTATCCTTACCTCTGCCTCCTACCTACGAAGAATTATCTAATCCAGTTGAGCGATCCACCATTGATTCCAAGAAGTTCCGATTTCATCAGGAGTCTTGTGTGAGGTACTCCGTCGAAGGCTTTGCTGAAGTCTATGAATGTGACGGCCAGGGTCTTCTGCTCCGTTCTGACTTTAACTGGCTTTCTCTTGCCGTAAGAAGATTATTCAGGTCTCAGAAGATTCCCCGGAAGACATGGACAACAAGCTTTTGCTATCTAGATGTAACAAGACAGCTGTATTGATGATTCTTTCTAGTTCCTTGATTGAGGTACTGTTGACACTGACAGGACTGCAGTTTGAAGTACAGTGTCTTGATCTTCCTCTAATAACATGGCATAATTCATGTAAAGTAGTGAAACCCCACCCAAGAGAGATAGCTTGAAGATCGTAGTTAGTGGGCCGGCTGTGTGAGTTGATAGCTCCTGGAAAAGCTTTGAATGACGGTTATCCGGTCATACTGACTTCCTTGACTGTAGTTTCTTTGGAGAACGAAATACGATGTTTTGGTAGATGTCGATGGAATCTACCATGTGTTCCTCTGACGCAACCGGAGCTGATGATATTGTAGCGGTAAATAATTCCCCAAATTATTGACCACAGCAATCATCACTCAACATCGGATGCTGACCCTCACTGTTTTAGTCGACTTGTTTAGCTGAAGGCTTCCAGTCAAGCATCCCCGCCATTTGGTACTCCGTCGTGTCACGTGCGTGCACGATTACTAGCTAGCTAAGCATTCACTTCAACCCGCGATTTGGTCCCGAAATATATTACGTACTTTGGACAACTAAATCTGGTCTTTTGCTTTGTCTTTGGTACTCGATGAGTGAACACCATAGAAATTGTTGGTATAAGATCTTGCGTTAGTATACTCTGCACAATTTGCGAACGTCGATACCTGCAACCTCCAAAATATGGCGAATGACCACTCTTATGCGAAGTCTTTGGAGAAGTAGCCTGTCACTGCCTCTGCTTCTTCCTGGTCACCTTTAGTTGTGTCGTTATCAATAGTCAGCAATACGCACCCGCCAACAGGGTTCGAAACCCAATACCTTCTGGTCACAAGGCTGGCAAGCTCGTAGACTATTAAGCCACTGGGACCCGATCCAATGGCCCATGAATTCTAACTTCTGCCAATTCATGACATAGCGCGACCGCTAGCCAATGTCTTTGTTTTCCAATGGTTCTCTAACCAATGTCAGCTCATGATGAAATCCTGGAAATTTGTATGTTCTCAGGTAAAACAGCTGCCAAATCCCGACAAGCTAAAATACTCTCCCTCCGCCTGCCCCAAATTTTTAGGGTTTGCTTATGTTCTTAGCAACTGAGAGTCTTTTCTGAAGACATTCACATTATGCTTTGGTTGTGCTATAGCTTTAAATATTTCCAGCTGTGTAAATTTATTTTATAAATAATTTTTAATAAAATCGTGTTGTTTTTCTGAATTGATAGGAATTCTCATTTCCTGACCAGTCATAATGGTGTCCGCGTCCCGTGATCCGACTGCAGCACACTTTGCATATTGGTTGCAATGCCTGGTGTTTCTGGCGGACTGTGTCAAGTTATCACTATGATGGGCTAGATGGCACAGTTGGAAGGTAACGTCATCTACAAAAATAGCCTACTTTATGTAGTATTATTCAAGACTTCACGTCTCAGGATATTGATTCAGCCTATTTTTGTGTGAAGAACAGTATTGTTTGACAAATGAGTGCTATCCGTACATGAAAATCACCTATAAATGCTAACATAACAAGACTAACAAATGTAGGCGGTTTTCGTGATTGTTGCAAGTACAGTGCTGTGGAGAAGGCAATTACTCGTTTAATTTTCCTCACTGTTTGACTCAGTGCATTAATTCGGTGTATGGTATTATAAACATGGATTGTGTTGATTATGACAAGTGAATCTTGTCAGCTTTATTATTATCAACCTACTATGTGTTATAGCATTCCCACTGACACTGTATACCTAATGGTGCAATATTTTTGGTCACCGATAGTGGAGGTGAATTTCTCCTGAAATTCCCATTTACGTAAAAATGGTACAGATGCAATATCACGATTCAGTGTCATTGTATCTTGGATACGATTATATGGCATATCCCCTATTTGAAGTGGCACCGCTTGCTTCACCTTGTTGGCATTTGCGCAGTTTATTCGATTTTAGTTGGGACTAGTTGTCCATTCAAACGCAGTTGACAAGGCTTTGGTGCTTATTTTGCTTTTTTGGATGAATTTATATGAAAATTGTTGTTCAACATTGTTCATGGGCATTTACTTATTGTTTATGCCTCAGGACGATTAAATATATGGTTCATGCAATGATTATTTTGTACGCCGAGTATGCTACGCGTACATTTTGATGACTGGCTTTTGAAAACTTTTTTCTTCTTTTCCCTACCAGCTGTTGTGCAGTACCTATTTCTGTTGCAGGAACCGAAGAATATGACTGATATCGAATTCGTGCTTCTGTATTTTTGTGTGGTGTTTTGATTGCTAAAAGTCAATGGAAACCATATATACAAGTAAAGATCGGTGTTCATATATTGGCAGGAACTGCAATATGTTTTATGAACACTTTCGGCTTTCTCTGTTTTCTGCCAAAAATTTAAAATGAAATAAACACTCACTACAACTTTCTAGTAATTTGCTGGATTTGAATAACATCGTCACGATCAGGTACGTGAGCACATCTGAGGTGTCATTTCGTCCTATTATTGAGTTTGATTTCGTTACCTCCCGGCTTTTCGCTATTGCCCTGGAGCTACATTATGTGCGTTTGTACAATGGCAATTCGCAGGATTATCTTGGAATCAGGCAGACGTAGTGTCCGACATTTATTAAAGCTATGGACGTAAGGCTTAGAAGTGGTTGCTATATCCACTTAGGGAGGACTCATTGATCTCTGCATTAAAGGCTTCAGAGTATATTTCTAAATACCTCCAGAAGTAAACAGAATCCCTGGAATCTATTAATGGTGAGAACAGGAGACATAGCTCCACCATTGTGAAGCATGATATAGAGACAGGACATGAAACTGACGTTTACACATCTTTTAAGTCTATCTATAAAAGGTGTTTGGGGTGTATCCTAAAGTTTGTGGAAGCCCTAGCTGGAAATAAGGAAATTTCAACTACCTTTATGTGACCGAAGCGACGATTCGGCATCACACTAAACATTCCTTGGTAAACTACGTTTTGATACCAGGGTAGATGTACAGTTATCTCTCTTGTTTGGTTTAGTGATTGATCTTCATTGTTGTTTTCACCTTCAATCTGTACTTTTAGCTTGACCTACGTCTATTTTCTCACCTCTTAACTCTATTAGTTTCATATATATTCCTATGACAAGTCCGTGTGTGATCAGGTTGTTCGAAATTTGTTGTGAGCTACAGAGTTTGGGAGGTTAGTGTCATATATCATACTGAATAATGCATTTAGAAGAGACGTTTGCCTTTGAGCCATATTGTCGTTAATATTCAGTACATTCTTAATGTAGTGATAAATTTGTTAGCGGTAATTATTATCAGTACCCATATGTTGGAAGAATATTCTATAACGAAGCATGCTATTGCAGTAGTCAAGGATTAGAACTATCGGTTAAAATTGAAACAGGTGCTTATGTAGGGGGCAAGTGATATTTTGAAAATCGAAACATCAAATGAATGATAAAGTTATTAACATCGTTTGCATGCGGACAGTTACAGTTATATATTTGGAAGTAATATTAACTTGTTGATAGTTTAAGGGGTGTTTTGGCTGATAGGAACAAAAGTGGGGCAGTATAAATGAATGCATGGATAAGGGTAGAACAGTCTCCTGAAACTACTAATTTAGTGAGTAACTAAACTTGTCTTTCAATTAAGCTTGAAAAAACGGCCTGTTGATAGGGTAAGCGATTATTATTGATATTACGTTAGAATAAGCGTGCCCAGGTACTAGTTCACCCATAATTCTGTCTTTTGAGTAACTTAGCAACATGGCGTTTACTTTTAGTTTTTAATTACTAGGCAAAGG